AGCCTGACTAAGAGTGAGGCCCCGTCTCTACTAAAAATAGAAAAAATTAGCTGGGCAACTAAAAATAGAAACAAAAAATTACCCAGGTGTGGTGGCGCATGCCTGTAGTCCCAGCTACTTGGGAGGCTGAGGCAGGAGGATCCCTTGAGCCCAGGAGTTTGAGGTTGCTGTGAGCTAGGCTAACACCATGGCACTCTAGCCAGGGCAACAGAGTGAGACTCTGTCTCAAAAAAAAAATAATAATTTTTTAAAAGATGAAATTAATTTTAATCATATATCTTATGTAACCCACTATATTATCATTTTAACATATAACATAAATAAATTATTAATGACATAGTTTATATTCTTTTTTATACTTTTATACTAAATTTTTGAAATCCAGTGTATATTCACATTTATAGCACATCTGGATTTGGACTGGTTACATTTCAAGCTCTCAGTAGCCACATGTGGCTCATGGCCACCATATTGCACAATGTAGGGCAGAGTCTAAGCCCTTCCCACGCAGCCCCAAGGGTGAGTAATGCCAGCCACATGCCAGCTAATGAAGGGAGTGTTTTGCCAGGTGAGCAACATGTGGCCACTTTTATCTGACCTCCCATCAGCACCTCCTGTTGGAACTAGCCCTACTGTGTGCCCTCTGAGTTCTTGAGAGCTCCTTAGAGAAGAAACCATTTCTTGCATTTATTTCAAAAGTCTTACAGTACCTGGCATCAAAGGTTCAACCATTCAGCAAATATTTATAGAGGGCTACTATGTACCAGGCCACTGGTCTTACGGAGATGAGGTCAGAGGTCCCTGACATCAAGGAGAGGGAGGAACAGCGCAGAGAGGGAAGGACAACAATACAGATGGTTATAATTAGAGCAAGGGTCTGGGGAGGCGTCAAGGGATAGCTGGGAGTGGTGTGCAGAATTTTTAACAACCATGGAAAGGTCTACAGTGTCCGAGAGGAAGGCTGGAGAGGGGAGGCTTGAGGCAATAGCTGCTTCTCAGTTAGAAAGTATTTCAGTATTTTACCATCTGGAATGGCTGTATCAGTGCACACCAGCCCAACGTGAGCACAGCACCTTAAGCACAGAGTCCAACACCACGCAGGTGAACGCAGAGGAGCACGTAGTAGGTGTTCTGTGAGTCCTTCCTGAATGGTGTGCTCCTTGTCCCAGCTCTTCCTTGGCTCTTCTCAGTGACTTCCCTCCCTGGCTTTCTCCATAGTGTTGGGCCAGCCCCTGCCGAGTGCGCCACAGCCCCAGGCCTTGCCCGCGACAGGCGAGGATGAGGGGGACAAGCTGGAGCTGAAGCAGGTGGTCCTCATCAACAGCTCCTACCTGTGCCAGTTCTGCCCCAGCAAGTTCAGCACCTACTTCCAGCTCAAGTCCCACATGACCCAGCATAAGAACGAGCAGGTAGGTGGGTGGTGTGGCAGGGGCCATACCTCCCCAGGTGTGACTGTCGGCTGGTGCTGGGGTCTTGAATGCTGCCTGGAAAAGGGCAAAAGTCAATCAAATCTTCTTCCGCAGCTCCTTTTCCTTAGGATAGATTCCTAGCAGGGGGGTGATCGAGTTAAGTTAGGTTACGCTTGGGACAAATCACAGAAAACCTTGACTCAAACTGGCTTAAATAATTAGGAAGTTTGTCATCTCACCTAATAAGAGACCCAAGATATGGCAGCTTCAGGCCTGAGACGGTCAGCTGACTCAACTGAGCATCAAGGACCCTGTGTCTTTCCAGCTCTGGTCTCTGCCGTCTCAGGTGTGGCCTTGTCCTCTACTGATGGCTCACCTGTGGTCCTGGGATGGTGGCCACCCTTTCTAGGCAGCAATCCAGATGTAGTGTTATCCATGAGCAAAAAAGGGTTATCTTTTCCATGTCTTCTTTAGGAGCAAGGACATCTTTCCTAGAAGCACTCCATAGATCTCTTACTGGCCAGAGCCAGTACATGTGCTCTATCATTTAGGAATGTGTTATTACATTGCAAATAGTAGAAAACTAGCTTAATAGAGTTTTATTTCTTTCACATCAAAAAAGTCCATAAGTAGGCAGCATTAGGCTTGTATAGCAGGTCAGGTATGTCATCATGGACTCAGACTTCTGATTTTCTGTTCTGCCATCCTTAGCTTGTGGCAGTCATCCTCAAGGTTGCAGACTGGCTGCTATATCTCCATCCATTGCATCTGTATTCCAGTCAGGACATATGTGGAAAGCAGAGGGGGGTCTCTCCTAGGAAGATTTTGCCTTTGCATTCTGGGTATGATGCCATCCCCAAAGACTACTGCCTGTCACTGGCTAGAAAGAAGTCACGTGGCTGACATAGATGTAAGGGACCAGGGGGATCAAGTGTTTTAACTAGACATATTGCTAATCAGAGCAAATCAGGGTTCACTTTGTTGGGAACAAAGAGTATGTGATACTGTGTAGGCAAACAGGAGTATGTGCTACTTATCAAAGTGTAATTTTCAACATGTTAAAAACACAATTCTCATACAAATGAGACTTGAACATGAGTCAGAATGTTACTTAATTCAATAATGAGGGAACTGGAAGGATGACAAACCTAGTTCAGAAGAGGATTTGAAACACTGATGTGTGTACCTAGTAACCATCAGTGGGAAAAAGGGGTGCTGAAGTCAGATTGCTACGTTAGATACAAATCTGCTTAATGTCCTACAGGACAGCAAAACCCATGACTGGCTTATCTTTTCTACCTGACAAAAGTCAATTCCATTGGACCAGGTTTTTGAAAGTTAGCATTTAACTTTCCTGCATCCCCAGAAAGTGAGATGACGCTAGGCCGGCTTGTTAGACAGCAGTTCTCAAAGTGAGGTCCCCAGGGCAGCAGCAGCATCATCTGACCATTCCTTGTTAGGCATGCACATATGCAGGCCACCCAGACCTGCTGAATCAGAAACTCTGGGGATGGCACCCAGCAATCTGTGACTCTGATCCTACTCAAGTTTGAGAGCCACTACTCCAGTATGACACTGAAAGAACATGCTATCATCTTTTCACCGTATTTCCAGGTCTTGGATAATTTTTCTAAATATACCCAGGCCAGACAGAACCTGAGGGAAGTGTAATGGGGCCATCACGATGGCTGAGAGGAGAGAAGGCTCTAATCAAAATAAAACCAGGGCTTCAGCGACAGGGGAGTTGGGGGAACAGTGGTCAGGACCTCCACCAGCAGTGTCCAAGGCCAGTGCCACAGGCCCCCGTCACCTGCCTTTTCCCTCAAGGTGTACAAGTGCGTGGTCAAGAGCTGTGCCCAGACGTTCCCAAAGCTCGACACATTTCTGGAGCACATCAAGAGCCACCAGGAGGAGCTGAGCTACCGCTGTCACCTCTGTGGCAAGGACTTCCCCTCGCTATACGACCTGGGTGTGCACCAGTATTCCCACAGCCTCCTGCCACAGCACAGCCCCAAGAAGGACAGCACTGTCTACAAGTACGTGCCCTCCCACTTCTCTCTCCCCAGGTGGGTGGGCGGGTGGGCAGGGGCCCGGGGGTCTGTGGCCTTGGTGGTTCTGACTGCTCAGGACCAACGAGTTGCCTCAAAAGGGACACTGCAGCTTCTGGCTGGGGTCCAGCCTTGCAGAGTGGGTTCTGGGCCTTGGTACTGGCGGAGGAAAAGATGCTGGCTCTCCTTATATCATTCTTGCATCATGTCTTGGCAGACATTTATCCTAAAAAAAAAAAAATCCTTACAAAGGAAAACCAATATTTCCTTGTTTATAGTGGAAAAAAGGCTTGAGGGTTTTTTCTAAACTAAAAAATTATGAAATATTATTTTGACTCATAATCTACAAAATTTAGGTTACAGTCAAAATAGTACACTGATTCTTAGAATGAAAAAAGAATGAACAATAACATACTTGAAAGCAAAAATCATAAAAATAATATTCATTTGTTTTAGAATCTATAAAATCTAGGTTAAAGTTGAAGTTACATGTTGATTCTTAGAATGAACGAAGAAGAAATCAAGTGTAGATTTTATGTAGAGTAATTTTTTCTGATAATCCTTTACGTCACTTTAGTCTTCCACTGCGGTCAGAAACGGGGTCTCTTTGGCAGAAATGATGAAGGGCTTCCTCGGTTTTGCCACTTGCTTTTAATCTTTAGATCTTGAAGTTATTTTCATTGAAGATATCCAGCCTGTGATCATCCTTGTTGAGTTTCTTCCCCTCGATTACCTTCCTGTCCTTCTGCCAGGCCCTCCTTTGTAAAGGTGTTATCTGCAGACATCCAATATCACTTTCATGACTTCATGAAGTCCTGCATTTTTGCCTTGCAGTCATTTTGTTGTGCATTTGTCCTGTGTCATCTGGGAGCAGCTGCCTCACAAAGCTTACACACGGTGGTGAAAGGCGGGAAGGGGTGTTTGTCTGGGGACTCCTTCTAGCTCATAGTGAATGTTTCCATGTTAGAATGGCTTTTGCTTCTTTGTGCAAACTTGTAGCTGCAGGGATTTGGCTGATGATTCTGTTAATAGGGCCCCCCTATAACTCCTGGGTGAGGCTTCTGGGGTACAGAGATAAGTAATTCTGGGTACAGACCTTGAGCTTAGAATGCATAAACTGCTCAGGGAGACAAGTGTGTAAATAAATGCTCGCCATACACTGTGATAAAATGCTATCATTTACATATATATAAGGTATAGAAGTATCACAGTGGAAGGCAGGGAGGGGAAGCTGTCCCAGGAGCAGTAGATATTTGACCTGGGTTTTGAAAGATGAATAGTTTGCTAGGTATACAATGGATAGGATGGAGTGCATTGCTAGCAGAGGAGCAGCAAGTGAAGAAATACAAAATTAAATAGCGAGTGGTTTAGAATGATGGTTGTGTAGAGTGGAAGTGGGAGGGGAATGTTTAGACGGGGCCTGTGGGCCTGTGGGAGAAAGTAGGGCCAGGGCATGAAGGGCTGTGCAGAAATCACAAGAGCTTTGAGAAGTTGGCAGAGGGACTAGGACTCAAGAAATGGATTGTAGGGTAACTTGTCCTGGGGAGACTGGGAAATGGGGCCAGAGAGGCAGGGAAGCTGGGCAAAGCTATAGCCAGCCAAGGGGCAGAGGTTTCTAGGCAGTAGTGAATAATTCCCATTTGTGCTTAGGGAGAATTTTCTTTTACTTTTGCCCTTCCAATGTGTGGATTATTTGAGCGTTCCTATGGCTGTGTGACTTTCTGGAGTGAGGTGCCAAATAAAGGGAAGGGAGCACCTACTATGTGCCAAGCTCTGACTTAGGGACATTAATCCTTGCAATCTGGGAGGTAGATGGTGTTCTCCCCATTTTGAAGGTGAGGACACTGAGGCTCAAAGAGAAGTGACCAGCCCACCAGGGTAACAACATCAGCACAGAGCTAGGATTTGAACCCTAGTCTGAGACCTTGGAAGCCTCACGGCTCTGGTCTTGCAATTTGCTGGCTGAGGGTTGAGACCAATGTTAATGGCCTTTGCAGTTCTCTTGCAGGGCCAGAGTACCAATGCCCTTTGTGGACATCGGAGCTGCTGTCCTGGCCCGAGGAGGCAGGCTTGAGGTGGAATGGTGTCATGGATAATAATAAGGGTTCTAGAGCCACCTGCCTGTGCTTAAATCCCGTCTTGACTATAAACCTGATGGATGACTTCGGGCAAGGTATTCAGCCACTCTGAGCCTCAGTTCTCTCATCTATGAAATGAGGATCACAATAGTGCCTACCCTATTGGACTATTTATAAGGGTCAGGTAAGACAAGGATGAGGCACTTAGACATGGTACCTGGACCGTGCAGGTGCTCAATAAATGTGACTAGTGCAATTATTATTATTTGCATTATTTAGACAGAGGTTTGGCTGCATGCAATAGAAACCCAAAATAACAGTGGCTCACACAGCATGAGAGTTGGTTTCTCTCTCACAGTAACATTTGAGCAGGTATGGTGGCTTCGTCATATTTTCAGAGGTTCAGGCCCAGTCATTCTGGTTCCTCCGTTCCCTGTGAGCCACATTCCCCGGCCTGCCCAAGGGTACCTTCCCAAACCTCTCAAGTGAATTTTATGTATGCAATATATCTTTAGTATATTTTCAAATGTTTTCTTTTAGAAATAAGATTTATCAATTTTTTTCACTAATTGCAAAAGTCATCCATGCTCAATGCAGAGAAAAGGATTTTTTTTTTTGAGACAGAGTCTCACTCTATTGCCCTGGCTAGAGTACCGTGGCGTCAGCCTAGCTCACAGCAACCTCAAACTCCTGGGCTCAAGCAATCCTTCTGCCTCAGCCTCCCGAGTAGCTGGGGCTACAGGCGTGCACCACCATGCCCGGCTAATTTTTTCTATATATTTTTAGTTGTCCAGATAATTTCTTTCTATTTTTTTAATAGAGACGGGGTCTCTCTGTTGGTCAGGCTGGTCTCGAACTCCTGAGCTCAAACGATCCACCCATCTTGGCCTCTCAGAATGCTAGAATTACAGGCGTGAGCCACTGCGCCCAGCCAGAGAAAAGGATTTTTTAAAAACTCACACAAAAACAAAAAAATAAAACACTGTCACCCAAAGATCACCACTGTTAGCCTCTTGTTATATGTCCTTTGGTATATATCTATGATAAATATGTTTATAAATTTGGGTACAGATATAAATATCACAGACTGTATTTGAGGTAGATGATCCCAAATATAGTCACTGAATTTGGTGACAGTTCATTACGCTGTCTTCCTATTGTGCAACGCCCAACAAACAGACTGAAACTGAATGGGACCACTCTACACTTGGTGTTAGCACTTAAAACTTTTGCACTTAAAAGTGATAATGTGGGCATCTTTGCATTTCAGCACCAACAGAGCTACCTCGTTCTTTATACAGCTACCTAGTGTCCCATTGTGCATGGATGTGCTGTACTTTAAAAGTCATCCCCCATTGCCGAACAGTGAGGTGATTTCCAGTTTGTCATTAGTATAAACAATGCTACAGGGAACAACTTTGGACATACATCTTTGCTTGTTTGCAAGTTCCTATAAGCGATTTTGCAGGTCAAAAATCAAAGGGGATTTTTAAAAAGATTAATTACCTACTCGAAAAAATAATTGTTATGTGCCTACGGTGTGATAGTTAAAAACTATGACAGGGCCAGGTGCAGTAGCTCTTATAACCCTAGCACTCTGGGAGGCCGAGGCAGGAGGACTGACTGCTTGAGGTCAGGAGTTCGAGACCAGCCTGACTAAGAGTGAGGCCCCGTCTCTACTAAAAATAGAAAAAATTAGCTGGGCAACTAAAAATAGAAACAAAAAATTACCCAGGTGTGGTGGCGCATGCCTGTAGTCCCAGCTACTTGGGAGGCTGAGGCAGGAGGATCCCTTGAGCCCAGGAGTTTGAGGTTGCTGTGAGCTAGACCTACACCTCGACACTCTAGCCTGGGCAACAGAGCAAGACTGTCTCAAAAAAAAAAAAAAAAAAGAATTTCCCAACTGTTTTACCACTTTTGCTTTATCCTATTCTCAAGCATTTGATGGTAATTTGCAGACACGATACCTCTTTACCCTTTGCCAACAGTGTGTGTTTCCTAAAAGCAAGGAAAACCTCTGACAGAAGCACAGTACACTGTAGTTACCAACATTGGGAAGTTCACATCATTACAATTCTGTTATCTGCAGGCCTTATTCAAAATTTTCCAGTTGTTCCAATAACACCCTTATAGAAAAAGAAAAAAAAAATTTTTGGCCAGGATCCAATCCAGAGTCACACGTGGCAGTCATTTGTCATGTCTCTTTAGTCTCCTTTAAGCTGGAACAGTTCCTCATTCTGTCTTTGTCCTTCCTGAACTTGATGGTATTTTTGAAGAGTACAGACAATTTATTCTGTAGAATGTCCTCGGTTTGGGTTTGACCTTGCCTGATTTTATCTCATGATTAGATCCAGGATATGCACTTTTGTCAGGAATATCACGAGTGACGCTGTGTCCTTCTCCGGGTATCCTATCAGGAGACATGTGATGTTGATTCATCCCATTACTGGTGACGTTACCTTGGATGACCTAGTGAAGGTGGGGTTTCTGGCGGGGAGTTTTCCTTTTCCTGGCTTTTGCTAAACTACGTCACGCTCAAACCTATGTCACCCTCGCCCCACCCCAACCCCCACCCCTTGAAGCTTGTGAGATTCTGTCCTGTCCCCTCTCACCAGCTTGTTAGGTCTCTGCCCTCCTGGTAGCTCTGTTCCCACCCTACCTCCTCTTTCTTGCCATCTGGAGGCATTTAGTGTGTGGTTTCAGAGTGCGGTCTGAGGGGGTCCCCCGGGACCGCGGCAGGTACACTTGGCCGGGGTTTACCACGGGCAGCAGTGGCGTACAAATGACAGGGCCCTCATTTCTGTTGTTGGTATGAATTGTCCACCTACCTGTGTGACATTCCTCATCAGTATCTCATTGTAAACGGGTCCGTTTTCTGGCAAATGTTTTCATGATGGGGCGATGATGGTATATCTTTTCTTCCTTTGGAGTGGTTTGTGGCCTGAAACTGCTGTTTTGAAGGCATATTAGCCACAGCAACTTGAGAATAAAAACCATGTTTATAGTGCTTTTCAGGTTTATGAGCTGTTTGGCACACTTGTGTCCTTTGACTGTGTGACAACCTTAAGAATGAACGTAGGGCAGGTCCATTTGGGACTGATACCCCATTTTACAGATGAGAAAACTGAGACGGTCAGAGATGGAAAGGAGCCAGGCTGGGATCCCTGTCTGTCAGACTCTTTCATGTAACAGATTCTCACTGGTGCTCAGAGCAGGTCGTGAACAGGAAAGATGTCCCTGCAGCAGGGACCACTTGCTAGTGGGGGAGACAGATAATAACCAAGTAAACAAGTAAATAAAATAAGTCCAGGTAATAAGTGCTAAGAAGAAAATAGAACTGGGTGACGTAATAGGAACTGGCTGGGTGTGGGTAGTGGGGGACAACTTGAGATGAGTGGCTGAGGAGGGCTTCTTTGAGGAGGTGACATTTGAGCAGAGACATGAAGGCTGAGAGGGCACTGCCCGGGGAAGACTTGGGGAAGAGCATTCAGGTAACAGCTTCAGCAAGTGCAAAGGCCCTGAGGTGGGAGTGAACTTGGTGTGTTCAGGGTGCATTGAGGAGTACAGGATGGCCAGAGCAGAGTGAGTAAGGTGGGGAGTAGAGAAAGATGAGGTCTGAGAGCAGAGAGTGTGTCAGGCTATAGGGCCTTGTAGGCCAAGGTGGGGGAATCTTAAGCAAAGATTTTCTTTTTTTTTCTTTTCTTTTCTTTTTCTTTCTTTTAGAGGGGTGGCGGGGGGGACAGGGGCTCACTCTGTCACCCAGGCTGGAGTGCAGCGGTATCACTATAGCTCACTATTACCTCAAACTCCCAGGCTCAAGCCGTCCTCCCACCTTGGCTTCCCAAAGTACTGGGATTACAGGTGTGAACTATGGCGCCCAGCCTGATTTTCATTTTTAAAGGCTCCCTCTGGCTGCCCTGTGGAGAGCTGACTACAGGGGGCAGGGTGGGGGCAGAGAGGCCAGTGAGGAAGCTACTACACATCTCTGAGCAAGAGACGGTGGCGGCTCAGACAAGGACAGAGGCAGTGGCCATGGAGAAGAGTGGACGTATTTGGGAGCGAATTAAATATAGGCTTTTGCGTCCTAACGTCGGCCTGGGGGGGCAGGGGGCTGGTTCCTGTGTCTGTTGGGTCTCCTCTCTCACCTCTCCTGCTCCTTCCCACTTAGGTGTGTCAAATGTGTCAACAAATACTCCACCCCTGAAGCCCTGGAGCACCACCTGCAGACCACCACTCACAACTTCCCTTGCCTGCACTGCCAGAAGGTGGGTGCCACTGGCCATACAGGGGCAAGGAGGGGGTGGGCGAACACCTCACCCTTCGCTTCTCCCCTCCTATCTCAGCACGTGCAGGCCGGGCTCTAGGGCATCTCCACTGACGACACTATATCGTTGAAGAGTAAGAGCCCTGCTGCCCATCTTAGCTGTCACACTCCAGGTGTGGCCATGGGGGACTGCTGCCGAGACAGGCTAGGACGGGCCCACGCGGGCTGAGACCTCCCCTGGGCCCAGGCCCAGCCTCTGAGCAGCCGCCTCCCTGCTTCCCGATGGGTTTTTATCCTTGTTATTATTGGTTCTTTTCAGTGAGTCTGGAAGCCCCCACTGAAGCCTGTTCCTAATATCATCAAATAACCAGGAAGTGTTCCAATTTCCAGTTGTCTCAAAGCATCATCACTTTTGTAAAGTTTGTTTGAATCAGGTCCATAGATTGCGATTGATTGATACAACATAAGTTTCTTTCTTTTTTTTTTTTTGA